TTGTCTCTGAAGCTACACTTTCATATGTTGATTCGTCAGTCACTGAGATCGTTGTTGAATCAAAAGTGGTCTCATCTGTTCGTGGATATGGAGTTGTTTCGAAAGTGGCACTGCTTTCACTACGATTATTAATATTGTTAGTGGTTGTTTCGATATTGTCAGCTTTCGTTGTAAGTGCAGTTTGGCTTGTTGTAGCAATAGTACTAATATTCGTTGAATATGAAGAGTAAGAACTCTTTTTATGTGGAACGCATCTGCCGTCTAGTTTTTCTCCTGCGTCGAGAAAATTGGAACAAATAAGGCCAGAAATGCAGTGATCATCCTCAAGGCAAGAGTCATCTGAAAATCAGTAAAACTCGTTTCATTTTGTACTATACTATTTCTATTTTTGTAACTGTCAAATTTGCTTTTGGAAATTCGTAATTTTCGCTAATTCGTTCAAGTCTGCGCTAAACCTTCGTTATTCGCTTATGATTATAGAAAATTGCGAGCACTTAAAAATTCAATTCACCTGCTCTTCCTTTCGCCCAACAGTAACCATTCCAACAAAAGAAGTCACCTATACATTCGCTGCTAAATCGACATGCTGAATAAATCATAAATTCATTCTAAGAAAAATCTCATCAATTCTGCACCAAAGTTTTGCTCTGATAAATATTTTTGGAAAAAATTTGTTATTGGACAATCGCTTATCCAATCTTGCTTTTAGAGTACCTCTAGTTGAATTTTTTACGCTCGGAATATATAAAATGCAGCTTCGATGTTTTTTGAATAATAATAACATTTACTTCCAGTATTTCCAATGAAAATGTTAATTATGGGGCCCATCCCAACTCCTGATGATCGCAATATTAGCTGCTTCATAAACTTTTCTTTTACGCAGTTATAGGAATGGCATGCTGAAAAAATACAATTTAAGGTAATATATTGTAGGTTAGAAAAAGTATTGTTCAAATAGAAAAACAGCGTCTTTTGGCGATTGTTTCACATTTTCATTACACGTTAAATTCCAGCTTTTTATTTTGCAAGAAAGGAGAACTTGCGTCAAATATTTTGATTCCTAATTACGATTTTTTATCACTTATGACACAGAACTCATTAATTTGTCATCCTTAACTTCGATAGCCAAATGTAGAAGAACGTTGCAGTGAGAGTATAAGTAACGATAATGCCACCACTGATGTTTTCAGATTATATTCTTCGTAACTATTTTTGTCCCAAACAAAAGTCTAAATATTGTAGCTCAGATTTATTAAATTCGCATTAGTTGACGTTATTTATTGAGCCTAAAATGATTTCACTCCAGTTTTTCATAAAATTGACGTTTTCTTTCTATATGCTTTTAATAGTTAGTGTAACTTTTAATAGTTATGGTTATACCAAACAGTCTAATGAGTCTCAAGCTTATACTAAATTAAGTTGCTAAAACATTTATTGCGCCTGAATTTTCTCCGAATAAAGCATAACATAGCGCTTTCTCGAGAGGCAATGAAATGCGGTGGCTGCAATCCAGAAGAAATCATTTAATTTTTATTCCTCCTGGTATCTGTGATATTTTAAATGGCTAATAAGTATTTGGAATTTCCGTTTCCATCCAAAACTAATATGCTTTGCTAAAAATACTTTGTTGAATGACAACCCACCTTGTAACGATTAATCAGGAAATAATAGCTTTGTTTACAAAAGTAAATCTCGTTAATTAGTTAATAAGAAGAAACTTCGGGAATGTTTGAACAGTGGAAACAGTAACAATCAGAATACTACTTGAATTATCTTTAACGAATTGAAGCTTCTTCATAAATGCTCATTTATCATCATATAGGGCAAGGATTTTACTGTCTTTCAAAAATTTGCGTTATAAAATGCTTCGAAATTTATGATATTCATAAATGTCAATGGTATTCATAATTATTGTTCCAGTACCATCGTATTGTTTTAGCTTCTTCATTGCCGCGGTATCTATTTCATTATCATAGACGCATTATTTCTAAGTCTAAAGATGCTTTGCAGCCAAATGAGCTTCAGGAATGTCAGACATGGAGGTTTTTCTGCAACTGTTGGAATTCGAAAGATTCAACATTTTTTAGCTGAGATCAACTGCATATTTGACAAACATTAATTACTTTTGCCAACTTCCTTAACCTTTTCAAATTTCTCATATACATCTTAACAAATATTACACGTAATTCAGTTTTATAGTGCTTTTATTACATTAATTTGTTATTTCATTAATAACAAAGTGATCTTTTAACTTAAATAATTCTTTACAGTTAGTTTCAGCTAAGCTTCACTTTCTATATTTTCGGTCACATTGCAAAATAGTGATAGCGAGCTTATCCTAAAAGTGTGTTCAGAAACAATAAATTTCTATCTTTAATTAAGCGAAAATTAATAGATATTTAAAATTATTTCATTTCATTAATACTGAATAGATAATATACTATTAAAATCGAATTATCACGAAATGCTGTACCATTAATAAATTGGTTTCAAAAATTTCTATAAATATGCCAAAAATTTTTTCCTTCATAAACTTTTCAAAAATTTTAATTTAATTTTATAAAAGCAGCAGTACATCCTATTTATATTTGTCGAAAAAAAAATGAGAAAAAAAAGAAAGGTTGATTAAAACTCACTGGAACTGTTTGTTGAAGTAGATAAGGTATTCAATGCAAACAATAATAGAAACACATTCATCTTCTCCAAATGCATGTTTCAATGCGGAAGCAATAATATTTGCGTTAAGGAAAAGCTTTGCTTTTGTAGGCAATTTCTCCTTCTCTTGTGCAAAGAAAAACATTTTATGAAAAAGATGAAATACAAGAACTGCATTATGGATAACAAAAAACTGTTACTAGAATAATGCTCTAATTCTTTCAAAAATACCGATTATTCATTGAAGTAAAGGTTTCTAACTTTCAATGATTTTTTATAAGATTTTTTCTTACAATTTTTTAATGTTATTTCTGATTATTCTTAGCTTTAAAATATGGCAGTAAAAAAAAATTAGTATTTCAAGAATAGGAAGCGATTCTAGAGCGCTTTGTTTGCTTGATAAATTTTTCATTGATTTTCCGCTTTTAAGAATATTTTTTTACTTTTCAATTTCTTCCTTTCCCGGCCTTTTTTGATAAATAAAAAAAACAGCCTGGATCATTTCCTGATACTTTATTTTGCAACGAAAATATTTCAGTCAAAACAAATGATATCATTTTTAAAGGGTGCACGAGAAATGAGAATAAATACTTTGATATAAAAATATATTCCAACCTAATAAATGTTTGTAAAAAAAGAAGTAAATCCAAAGTTGTAAAAAGCAATAAAATATTTAATATCTTTCTCAAACTTTCTTTCACTAATATACTATTTATTGGCCAATTCAGTTTACTAAACAGATATCCTTGTACACTTCTTGCCTTCATGCTTCATAACATGTATTATTGTCATTTTAATGTAATAACAAGGTCAACATGAATTTCGGTCACATCAGTACTCACAACATATTTGGCTATAGATTTCTAATTTGGAATGCTTTTTATAAGTTTGTGAACTGTTGGTATTGTAATTATTTACCACACAGTAGCAGACACTTTTATGTTACTCAGTCAAAAATTTTTTGCTGAATTTAATGTATCTATTAGTTGTGAAGACTGGAAACTGATCTTACTAATTATGTAGATAATTTTAAAATATAACATTCCTAATGATTCTGATATCTGCTTTAAACAATTAAGTGAGAATAAATACATCTGTAAAGCTATGTTAATATCCAGTCTTGTAACACTTAGAAAAAATTTTTAATTACAATTAACAGCAGAAATGCGTTTTCATTCTTAAAGAATTGACGTCAATTATTCTCATAAAAAATGCATGTTTATTTTGATTTACAAAAAATTTTTCTTTTCAATGATCTTCTTGCATTCTAAAATGACGCAAAAACATGTCACAAGCTGATTAGATGCAAGTGAAATTGAAAATCTCAGTGCAATTTCGATTTTATATCTGATATTTTTTATGCGCTTTCATTTAAAGTAAAAGTCATGATATTCAGTACTAAAAGTCGGAAACATTCGTAAAATTCATTAATTATTTCATAAAAATGAAGTAGCATAACAGTCTTTTCATATCATTCACTCTAAAATTGGTACTTTGAGAAATTTTGAAATTGAGGTAAAATTTTAATTGAAACAGAAGACTTTGTGCATTTGTCGATTTCACTAAGAAATTATTTTTCTTTTCAGAGTTGAGTGTATTCTCAATTCTTCTTGAGCAATTTTATTGATTAAGAAGTTGGGATTGAAAATAATTAAGCATAAATAAACCAACAATGCATTTTTTAGTTTTTCTAGTTGATAAATAATTATTGAAATGAGTTACTGATCAATCATACTTTCCATACTGTATAAGGCTGTAAAATCATCATCTTGCTCCGTAAACTAAATAGCAATAAATTACTATTCTGAGATTTTCAAAATAAAGAAAAAATGGGATGCATAAGTTTGTCTCAACCGGTATTATCTGCTACTTTCAACAGTTTAAATTAGTATATAACTTATTACTCTTCAACTGATTTCTGTTGATTGCAAGTTTATATGATAAATATAGGAAATCCAATATAGCATGAGGAGCAAGTGAAATGAGTAATTGTGCTCTCTGAGTATACGGTATTTTTTCTTTCGCCTACTGATAATTGCTATGAAAAATTGTTCTTGAATAAAGTAAAAAGAGCAGTTATTAGGTCCCTTAAAGTCTCCAGCATTGCATGCATTATATACATGATTTAGCCGGACTAGTTTAATTTATTGTAAAAGCAACGTCAGATAAGTCAATGAGGACCCTGCCATTTTGAAACAAAAGATTTGGAGACATCGTTTTACGGTATTCTAACAAAATATATGTATATATATGTACAGAAATGTTTTTGAATATGAAATCTGAAAATCTTGATTGCTAAATGAGTACTGTAAAAAGTTTTTTTTTTCATAATTAACCATATTTGCAGGAAACTGATTAAAAAACATGAAAAAGTTACGGGGCAAATTTTCATGAATTTCGGTGTGCATTTTTTTTGGAATAAAAAATTAAAGCCTTAGGAACACATTTTCTTTATTCGATTTGTTCCTCATAAATAAAATGCAAATGCTCTACCTAACATCGCTTCTAAATGCTAGCTTAGTAGCTTTTTGTTATGCAAAATTGTTGACAAGAAAATCGACTTTCTAAGAATAGCAGCAGCTAGAAGAGGGTATAATACTCGGAGAGAATGCGTTTTTGACACATTCACATCTCGAAGCATGCATGTGGAGATGTTTGAATAAAAAAGAAGTTTCCAGCCAAGTAAATGTCGACACTCTTTGTTATTGCAACTAAGATATGATTTTATGAGGAATATATGATTATATGAAAACAATGCGTGCAAACATTTAAAGATTAAATTATAAATAGAATTTGAGTACTGTGTGCAAACAAGATCAGTATTTCAATTAATAATCTCCTCATATCACTTTCATTTTAATGATCACTTTCCAGTTGTTCTTAATATTTTTTCGTCTACCGAATAGAGTTTTTATCAAGTACGTAAGAGAAATAGGCGGCTTTTTTAATTCACTTCTCTGCGTAAATTTTAGTCACTCTGTTTCGAATATTTTATCCCTGCTCACTAACTTATTACTTTCTATTTCAAGTTAGAAAGCCAAACTACTCCACTCTCCACTTTTCATCTTCATTGATGACAATCTATCTTCCGATGAAAAAAAAAAACCATAAAAGCACTCACTGCATACTAAGGCTTCTTTCCCTTTGTATGCAGTGTTATTATGGTATTTTTCACTTTTTAGCTTCTCCTATTCTTTGTCTTTGTTAATTCGTTGTTAAGTCACTCCTCATATTTCTTATCATTTTACTTGCACTTAATGCTAAATAGCTTTCAAGAGAAAAGCTACTCACTATTCTTTCTGTTCTTTATAAGTTAGATTTAACTTTAAATCTTCAGGATTTAAAAATTAGCCATTGTTGTTCGATAAATCACTTAGTTCTTAGTTACTAGACATACTAATATCTTAGTCATATGACCAACTAATTACCTTTGATCGTGTGTCACGGCCTGAATATATCTTGATGGTATGTCATATTTCTTTATTGACCTCGTACATAATTTAATTGACCAATAATTAGTACAAGAGAACTGTTTATAACATGATCTAAACCTAACTTCTACAAAGTTTACTAGGAATTTCTGATGTCAAAGCAAATAAAACACGTTCGCAGTACATTTTTGGATGATGTTGGTTTTTCTGAACGATCTATGCAAGAACGAGAAAGACTTTCAGAACGTGTTTCCAAAGTAAGCTTACATCTATTTCCTAGTCTTATTAATTATACCTGGTGATTATTTCATGATATAAAATATAGATATTGTTCGGATATCACATTAGTTGCATACTTTGCAATTCTTGCAAAGCACTTATTTTTGACTTGTCAGAAAGCATACTTCTTTAACTACTCAGTCCTCAGCAAGTTTTTCCATTGAAATAAAGTTTGAGTTCGATTTTAGTAAACATTGTAATAATACTTCAGGTTCTCATCGCAGCGCGATGTACTGATCCACTTCTTTGGATCTTCAGTTCTTTTCTTGGAGTTTTCGTCAGTGCTCTACAATCTATACCACTTGCAACAAATGGATGGGTGTATGTCACTGAACCACGGGCTTACAATAAAACAAATGAAAATGGAGATTTAATGGTGCATATTGATAAATAAAAATCTCTTTCTCATACATATTATGCACTACATTATTCACTTTTAGGATACGGTATTCCTGTACAGCGCAGGTTACTTTGTAATGTGTCGTGAGTTCAAAGGAGAAGAAACTGTCGCTGGTGAAGATGTTCGAATGTACTTATCAAGTATACCTTACTTACTTTTAATTCTCGTCAAATAATACATGATTAGAAATCAAAAATTTGTGAAGTTTCTTTTGCCTTAATCTTCATTAGCTGTTATTTGATTATTTTGGAATACTTTATTTTTTTATTATAGAGCTATTTTGGAGCCATTTGATGTTTTTAAAATAAATTTACTATTTACCCATATATTTAAAAAAAAGTAAATGTCATTTTATATTAATGCTTACTTTTCACAGCATTAAAAATATTTTTCATTTGCTAAATAAGTCATGAATTATGCAATGTTTTATCTCTTCCATTTAAAGAAATTTTTGATATAACTGGGAATGGCATCTTCATAGTAACGGATCTCAATTTGTTTATTTTCAGGTGAGGAAACAGCCTATCAATGTTACTGGAATCCAATCCTTACTGGGGAGGATCTAACAGAATTTAGCTCTGCAACTCTCGCAATCGAAGGTACTCTACGGCCCATTGCTTGTTAGCCATATTTGAACCTTAGCGCCATTAAGGAAATATTTCAGGTACGTACTCAATTGCAGAAGTCTGTAGATTGCTGTGATGTTACAGACATCACTTTCATATAAAAATATTACTCGCAGCACCTTTCAGGACGTCTTGCATTGCCTACCTCAATGCATATTATTGGTGTAACTATCTGTTATATGGCATTTTGTTTTGGTCTTATTGGTCACATAAAGCGCAGCTCAAAAACACTTCTTGCAGCAATTTTGTATATTTTCGGAGGTATTCTGTGTCATAAAAATTTTTCCTTTATATTAGGATAAAGAAATATACAAAACATCAATCAATAACCATTTTTAATCAGTCTATTACCTTTTTAGGCCTTGTTGTTCTAGTTGGTGTCCTACAGTTTGTTTGCGTTGTTGATGATGAACTAGCACCACGAATGAAACCGAATGCAGCTGGTGAACCATCCAAATTCAGTTTCATATATGGCAAGTACTCATCTAATTTCATTAAACGGTACCAGGTCTCTTTGACTACAAATAAAAGTGTTCAAGTGTTACACTGAAATACAATCAATGTTAATTAATATGCTTGTTGATACAAAAAATAGATAATCTAAGTGTTTTTTTGTCATTCATTTTATTTGCAGGATATTCCTTCTTCTTTACTTCGTTATCATTCTTACCGCTGCAACTGTGTGCTTGCTGTCATGCATTCCTTTATTTCCGCCGTTTTCCGACAGCACTTGATAAAATGAAAATCGTCCCAGGTCTTGAAGCACAGTGTTAGTTTTTCCGTGTACTATAGAAAACCGAACTTGTTAAAGGTGACATCCACGTAGTGAAACTTACCAACCAACCAGATTTATGACGGAATGTTTTCCTGCGTGTGCACATTTTTCGCGAGACTAATAAAAAATAATTTTGATCATTTTCAAAATCTAAGATTAAAGAATGATCATTTCAGTGAAACGTATTCAAGTGGTAAAGGCACTGCGTTCTCCTCAGTCTGAGACATTACAAGATAGGTCTATTTGTGCTATCGTTTATCCTAATCAACCAGCTAGTCGAAAGTCTTCTCGTTTTAGTTTCAATTCACCGCTTCTGATCAGTCCAGCAGTAGTAATGCCCTCATCGTTCCCGGAACCGCTGCTTTCCACAGCTATACGTAATTCAGCAAATCATAAGCAACCTTGATTTAAAAAACTACTTTATTTAATCAGTCTTTGCATTTACTTCTGAAATTCTTATTCGTGGAAATGGTGAATGAATCTCTAATTTCTTTTGTAATGGATAGATGTAATTGAAACTTTATTTCTACAGAGAATCAAATTTGAATAAAAAGCCATAAACTTGTGAAACAAAGGTTAAATTATTTGGTTCTGAAAATGAATGAGCATAATAATGGAATACTTCAGACAGATAAAACCTAAATTACGGCAAATAATGCTTCTAAACTGAGATAAAAATGGTTCGTCAATGTTTGTGAGTTTAGATCTATGTCGAATGATTTTAAATTTCTCAAGAATTGGTGCTTTCAAATTAGCTTCTGGTGATAAGTGCTGCAGAGGACTTTCATTTATTAGTTTCTCGTAATTCAAATTAGTGTAATCGTTCCACCTCAATTTTTTATAGGGGAAATTTTTACGATCTCAACTGTTTAATGCAAATAAAGTTTGTGAGAAGTAGAAACTTTTGATAAAGTCTTGAGTAATTAATCACTGATTCAGTTATGCATACTGAAGAACTGGTAGAAAATTGGGAAATTTTTCGCGTCAGTCCTTTTATTGTTCGTTTTCTTTCTTGTTTGCATTGTTTTATCCTAAATAATGAAAGATAACAGCATGAATTATGAACTTAATATGCGTGGACAGAAATGTAATGAGATCTTGCCTTTTGAGTCACTTATAAGAGGCTATACTTTAGAAGGTACCGCTGGCTTCGTTGTTTGAATAGGGTATGTGGACATAAATTTGACTTTTCAAATTAGAAAGCGTTTACCAGTCGAAAAAGGAAAGTACGGAAAGTGAGAGTTTCTTAATTCAGAATTTGGTGTCTTTATGGAATTCAAAAATCATAATATTCTGACAGTAAGCAGTGTACTATCTCCTACTGCGGAATCTCACTTGCTCCTATTTCCAAAAAATTCGCAAATTGATTTCCTGCTGTCTGTAGATTACAATGAGGTAATAATAGGAAATTGAAAAAAGTACGCTAGGAGAAATATAAACATAGCCATTCATCGTTAAATATGACATTCCATTTTTGTACATTAAGAGTGAGGACTTCATGTACAAAAATTGCTACTCTTACGTACAAATTTTCCATTTTTGTCTGAAAATGAAAAACTAAGGTAGAACTGAATTTTAACTCTGCTTTTTTGCTTAGAATAGTTGATTTATTTGCAATGAATATTGTCAAGAAGCTTTAAAGTTGATATTAATTAAGGGTGCTCCACTTGTTCTTTTCTGACACACATGCCAAGCAATTTTATATCTAATTATTGCAGTTTTAAACTTGACTATATAAAATTGTTAAGTGATATGTTTCTCAGTGGTTGTATATTTTCCATTATGGTGCAACAGATACAAAAAAGGAATTGTGAAAGCAAACAAACAGCTGGAAGTCATTTGCATGACATTTTGGAGTTCATATTTCTAGCTCATCATGAGAATGCATTACTTAGATTGGAACATTGTTACCTTAAGTGAATTATGTACAATTCAGGAAGCATTACAATGTGCGATTTACCAATAAATACATCCAGTTCCCTATTTTATTATTATCCTTATCATTTAGTTCAAGAAATTAAAGCTTCCTGCCCCTTCATTTGGTTTTAATCCTTGCTCAATATGATTGCCCTGCATTCACTTGTGTTTAATCTTGACTTACTATCGCTGACAAATCCTCACGAAATTATTCAAACTGAAATTAAAAAAAGAAATTTGCGCAGCTTGAAAATGTTCAGATTATAAAACAATTTTGAACTTCTCATAGTATAATGCTAAATCGATGACAACTTGCTAATTAATAGTAGAATGGCACTGAAGTTTCTGACATTACCATGTGGCTAATAAAATAACTATACTGTACAAATTATTGTGAGCCCTGCTTGATACAACCGAAGTTGCATTCCACACGTCTAATTACTGACTGTGGCAGGTAAGGAAAGCAGTAATTTAGTTACAATGTAGATCTGCAGATGATAATTGTGAAGGTAAATTAACGAATGTTTGCACAACTGCATACATAAACATAAACATTAATGAGTCTATTTCTAGTGATACACTACAGGTTTAGATACAGCCGGCATGTACTGTAATTATCTGAGAATAAAGTTCATAGCGAAGACAAAAGGCGTATGTGATTATGACAATCAAACTAGGCTTTTAAAACATCCTCTCTCAATTTGCAATTTATCACAGATCGGTGTTGCACTAGAAATGAGTTATGATTAGAATTGCTCTTGAGACTGACCTTTTTCAGCTTATTCTTCTATTGCTTGCGCAACTCTGATTGCACCACCTGCCATACCCTATTGTTTATAAACTATTTCATACATCCCTCATAAAATTTCTCATTTCTTGGTGGTCACTGTCTCATATTGATAAAATAATGCACCGAAGCATGAATAATTTAACACTAGCTACAACCACCATCCCCTTAAATCCCTAGTTATTTTCCTTTCTCTCCTTAGAGACAGGTATAATGATGAAAATGTTACCTGACGTAAGAAAGAATTATGTTAAGTAAGAGGAGTTACAGACGAGTTACAGACCGATATTCACCATTGACAGAAATGTACTGGGATTGTTGTTCTTTAAATCATTCAACCCGAATATTTGTATTTTCTCCTAATTTTTGCTCTACCATATATATGTACACTGTCTGTAATGTATTACCAATTCCACCATTGTAACGAATTTTTTTGGACTTTTCTTTTAAATCTACAAAATGTTTCAAACTTTTTGCCATCAACTACTGGCAACTTAAGGCGGTTTCCATACTTCAACTGCTTTACACTTATCACTGGAAAAATGTCCGTAAAAGCGAAAAAATTCTCTTAGAATTGGAGACAACCAAATATGATTTGTAGCTTTAAGGATGTGTGATCTTTGCAAAATGGAGATAGTTTTAGTCGAAAGTTTGATTAATGTAGTACCTTTTTTTGATTCGAACTATTGCACTGCTTTAAATTTGTGCGTTATAACCGACCGAAATCAAATTCTGCTGGTACTAGCAGTTAATGTTGTAAAGAAAAAATATTTGCAGGTATATCAGTGGTCATGAGAATATAATTTTATAGCTTCCAAACCATATAGTCACTGAATGAATGATATATTAAAATAGTGATCAGATATTGCAGATATTGTCATAACTTGTCAGGCCTTTACTGCAAAAATTATTAATGACTTATATGACATACTCTCACTTCTTTACTCTCCTTATTCGTTTCACAAAATGTCCTCGGCCTTTCCTCATGTTACATCTTTCAGCAATTTTGTTTACAGGACTACTAAATATCTGTCAAGAAAAATCAACAATCAAACAAAATAAATAAGTTTGAAAATTTTCAAAGAAAAGACTGGAAAGACCCAACACTAAAAGTTTACAACAACGATTATGATTGGAAGTTGCATAGCAAAGACATCTTATTTTTTTAACCAACAATATTTTTAAAAAATGGAAATACGTGCCATCCAATTTGTTTACTGTATTTCATTTATTTAGAATTTGATGTTTCTTTTTTCAGCCTAGATTATATGTATTCTTTCGTACAGCATTTTTCTTCAATTGGAAAAGCACCAAATCACTGGATTATATTGTCTTAAGATTTTTTATATTTGATATACTCTTCAATATCAAAAACAATCATGCAGTTCAATCCTATAAAGCCTTCTGGCAAATATTAAAAGAAAGATATTCGATTTATTTATTCAGCGTTTTTTAACAAATATGAAAAAAGAAACTAATGCTGCTTTCTAGTTCTCAAGATGCATCATGTACGTTAGCAATATTTCATTACTTTAACAAATGACTGAAGTTTTGGATTATAATTGAAAAGTATCAGGTTATTCTAGATTAGTTCTGACATTTCAATTTTCTAACGATTTCCGCTTCATGAAAAAAATTATATTTTAATGCCAAAAACTGATCATTTCTTAAAAAAAACAAAAGGTTAAAAACATTTTGACATTTGCGGAATTTGTTAGAGGATCAAGAAACTCAACTGAAGCTGAGTGAATTTGATCTCTCGATGAGGGACAAAGGTGTGAGAGAAGAAGAGAAACTACAGACTGTGGTATAGCATTTTTCGGCGATATTGAGCTCAACAAAATTTTTCTTCAAAGGTATATTTTATTTGAAAGCATTATCTATATTTGTCTATTTATTCTCGTTTGCCGTGTATATTCTCCGTCTAATCGTCTGTCTCATGTCTATCATTATGACTAGGCTACGTAACCATAGATCGAAATAATTGTTTAACCAAAGGAAAAATAATTTTCATCTCAAAAGTCAATCTTATCAATGTTATATATATATATA